ATATGGTGAGCAGATGGTAAATGAAACGTTTAGTGTATTAAAGTGCAGGCACAGAAGAATCAAAAAAATAACTGAATAGCATCTTGAGCATTGAAAGATATAGTGATATACTATTGCAATTCACATGATAAAATACGTCTGTATGTACTATAGTGCCCCAGGTAGCAGAGAGAGAAACTTGTATCTTTGTAGTATTCGTGAAGCATCTTCTCCTCCACTGTTACAAACTGATCATAAACTGATACTATTAACAGATGTATATAGCAGAAGCATGGAAAAGCAGGGCTACACCAGACTTCAGAGGTCAAATTGTTGCCCCAGGTACTCAAGCAGCATGAAGCACAGCCCTTTCACAAGGACTTCATCACTTTATACACTGAATTTCTCTTCGACCTGCTAAGGAACTGCTCAAGGGAACAGAGAGGATAAACAGAATAAAGCCAAGCTCCACTATGCAGCTACCGGAGCTCCCTGCTGTGGTGAGGATGTGACTTATCAACTGACTAATGAAGACAACCTTGATTGTTCATGCAATACTGCACTTCTGACAGGATCTAGCCTCTAAGACTGACATTATGTGAAATATCAACTTAAAACATTCCTCAGCCAGTGAGCCACACCTTCCTGTACTCATAGTTCTTCCTCCTCAAACATCCCCACTCACACATCAGCCCTGCAGCATTCCCTCCCTGAAATTCCCTCACCTTGTTCAGGTGGCAGGTTTAAGCAGAAGACTCTAACGTAACAGGCCTGGAGAGTCTATGAAATAGCTGCTATTTAATATTTTTTCAAGAAAATAGTATTTTTTCAAATAAATCATTTCTGTTTCAAATAAAGCAAACTGCCTGTCAGTGCCTAATGTATTCTGTGACACTATAATTTTTAACAGGATGGAAAAAAAATATAACAGGTTTTTTACAATTTGCATTACAGCCTTGATTTTATTTCAAAGTGTCAGACTCTGTGTCACTGCAAGCAGACATTCCCCCAGTGGCATTTGTATGCTGCCGACGCAACAGACGCTTAACTTCCCAGGCTCTCTCTGCACAACTCCATCAAGACAAGAAAGAAGTTTGTATCTGTTTTTTTTGAAAGCTATGGCAAAACTTCACACATGATGCCCTTAAATGAGCAGCTACATAATTGTTTACAGGAGTTTTACTCCAAAGTGGTAGTTTGCAGGGTTTGTTTTTGGTTTGATTCCGTACAACAACCCAAGCACTCTGCTCCTGACATACCAAGACACAGCTTGTCAGCAGGATTTGTCACCTCCAAGCTTTCTAGGGCCCTTGGTGATTAAAGGCTAGGGCCAGTGAGAAGGCAGCACAGTTCTGCTCTGCCATCTACCACATCTCTGCTGGGTGCTCAGCATCCTCTGACCAATCACCTAACACACTGCTCCACTAGCCGTCAACATGGCCCATCTTCCAGCCTGCAGTCTTAAGTGACTTGACTGACCTTTTATTGATTTGAGGAAGATGACGGTGACAATGTGAATGTCACTGTTTGGGGCAGGCAATACTGTTCATACTGGAAAATTAAATGGGGGTCTCCATACTATATATGAAGTGGCAGAGATCTTCTGAATGGTGATCAGCTCTGAAAAGCTGAGGTCTCCAGGGAGATGCCCTCTCTGCCAGCTGACAATTTTGCTCCTGCCTCATATTCACACAATATATACAGTTTCCAAATGTGCGTGTTTCTTATATCTCTGCAGTATCTCACATACACAAAATTTCTTACATGAAAATTGCTTTGTTGTCCACCAAATCACTAATCTGCACTTCACATATAATGTGAAATGGCTGTGATCCTTCTTCTTTTACAGGTTGGCTAGTTGAGAGACAGCTAGGTGTACCATGCATCTTCTCCTAAATTCAGCAGCAGACCTAGAAGAGGTAGAATCCAGACATCCTTCTAGCTCCCTCTTCCATGGTCTTAACTGTACAGAACATGACAAACATTTGGTAACACAAGTTTAGAAGATAACTTTTGTAGGCAAGTATCCCAACACAGTACTGACTTATGAAAACAGTGCAAACCAACTGTAGAAGACTTGGATGTAAAGGAGAAATCTGGGAAGCACAAATAAGCTAAGAAAGATTTCAGATCTTATCCTGCAATTAGAACCACAGGGGAAAATCAGATCAGAGTCTCAGTGACTTTGACAGCACCCATCATGGACCAACAAGCACTTCCAACCAAAGCAGCAACACATTCATCTCATGTTATTATTTCTCTTCTGTAACTGATACGTTCTTGCATTTAGCCAAGCAATTTCCATTAAGTTTTACAGTGGTTTAGAATAAGCCTCTGAATTCCCTGAAATCTATGAGAACTTCCTGAGCTTCTAGAAACTTGTTACTATAAAACCAAACCAAAATTTAGAATGAGCAGCTCAGAAATTGCCTCTGGACAAGGATGTCAAATACTGGCATAAAAATTCAGATTTTCTTAACTACTGTGTATTTTAAAAATAAGGCAGTGCATACAAAGACAAACATTAGCTGAAGTCTTACATAACTTATACTGCAATACCCTCTTGTGGTCAAACAAAAATGTTTTGTCTAAACACCTGAACCTTTTCCTCCATAAAAAGCCTCTCCAGACATCTTTTCCTTTGACAGAGGTAAGTAAGTAACATATTTTTCACAGATGAATTTGTAGTGCGTATCATCACTTGTCTGGAAAAAACAAAAGATGAACCTCAGTCAAGTTCTTCCTCAGAATGACGGGCACCAACTCTGCTTGTCAGATAAACTAATCCCTAAATGAACTCCTAAGCAAAGGCACCACCTCCTACAGTGACACTCATAATTTTTTTTGAAGTTTCATGTCACTAACCAGAAAAAATAAGATGGTATAATCAATTTACATAGAAACATGTGGCACAAAGCCATAGTGAACATCAACCTCTTGTACTGCAGGATGAAAAGAAGTATGCAGTAGATCAGGTGTACCAATCCAAATGAACTCCCTGCTTAAATGCCCCACATTGTAATAATGAACAAATAAAATGTTAAACTGGCAGATGGTAATACAAGAGGAAACAGTTCAGTCTCTTCAGCAGTTCTGTCAAGCTGCTACTCTAGTAAATGGCCTAAATGGGCTAACAGTAGATCCAGTAAGGAATCTATAGTAGCACCCAGAAATGTCAACCTTGCAATCACCTGGATGCTCTTTAATGGTGCACAACCACATTCTGATGTCTTCTAGTCCCAACAGAAAATAGGATAATTTTTAAATTACCATCTTTTAGTGACCAATTTCTGGAAACAGCAGATACATTTTAAAGTCATATTAATACATATTTTTTTAAACTCCAATTTATTTAAACAGCCATGATCCCATTCCCATCTATTGTTTTCAGAGAAATCGCTTGAACGTCATGAAGTGTCCAATGCCTCCATGTCGATTCATAGCTTATTTTTGGTTTAAGCCTACAGATATCCTAAACAGTTAAGACTTTCTTCTTTTCTGAGGTTGTGGAGTCTCAGGCCAACAGAGCTCTCTGTAACCTAAGAATTCACTTTCAGTAAGATGTTTTGAAAGACATTTTGTAGCCCTACACCTGCATCAAAACTATGGTAGTTAAAGCTCCTGCATCTTTGCAGACACCACTCATTGTCGTAGGTATACCTGCTTGTAATCTTTCTGGTCCAGTTTATTCAGTGGCTACAAGTAGTCATTTGGAGGCTATGTACTCAGCTCAATAACCATCTTTATTATTATGTTTAATTTGAAGAAATTGACTTCAAGGAAAGATTAGAATTGAAATAACACCAGAACTTTGTAAACAAGAAATAAAAAGCATTCCATGCATAGGAACAGATTTCTCATCAAGATCCTTCCCTGATCCGATAAGGAGCTAAAAATCCTATTCGCACTGATTAATGCACTGGGTCTTCCAAATGTGCCTCAGCTTCCTTTTAAAGCAGCTACATGCTTCTAAAACCCCATTCTCCAACCAGCTGCACACATTCCAACTTGGACTGGACCCTGGAACAAATGCAGCAGAATAAGCAGATTCCGCAAGAGGAACAGAGACAACCATCAGGTTAGGTTGGCAAACATTTCGTTTCTTCAATTCAGGATAATGCTGTGTGAATACAAGACTTTGTTTTTTTGGGGGGGTTGAAACAGATGAACAACACTATTTAGGTTTCAATTGTCTCAGAAAAATGAGCAAATAAACAAAAAGTCTACTAAAATTTCATTAAAACCCAAAGCAAAAATTATGGTTTGAGGTGGAGTTTACCTCTTCTTATGTTACTGCAATCTTCAAGTCAGAATAATTTTTCCAAATATAGAAGTATTTCATGCATGAAGTGTTTGGGTTGTACAGTTGCAACTATTTTAAAAGCAATTATTTGCTAAATTCAGCATGCATTTCCTAACACTGAAAGCAAATAAATTTGCCAAAATCCCCTGAAAAAGTAGATTCAAACTTCATTAGCATTTACCAGGAAGATGAAGCAAGAGGCTAGAATTCATCTGGAGCTAATCCACACTACTCAAAACAAGTCAGTCAAGAATTTCAGAGGAAATTTATACTTAAAATACTCCATTTTCCTGCAAGGTCACACATACTTGAGGAAGTGACTTCATACCACAGAAACCTAACAGGCTGACTGTAAAGACAAACACTGAGATTTTGGACACTGTTTTGAAAATTCTCACTTTGCATGCTAATAACCCTGTATAATGTTAATAGTTACTTAAAAACTACTTATAGTTGCTTAATACCTTCTGCAGAAATCTCTAAATACTTAAAAGGGACTTTTGGTGATCTCTGGCTGCCCTTTTTTTTTTAATCTGTAAATAAGAAGCTTTCAGCACAGATTCATTGAAATATTTTAAACAAACGAGCTCTGCCCAAAATCTATTTCAAGGCCCCAGCAGCTGTCCCACTGGGTCTCTGCTCCCATTCTGATGAATATTCACAAGTCAGACTTGCTTCCAGCTTTCAGGTTTTGCTTCTGCTACATAACAACAAAAGTCCTCCTCACATACTCAGCAGCAATCTCCACAGCACCCTTTGCTACTAAGCCAGACTTCATTGTTCTGAGGAATTTGAATAGAATGTGGTCTCAGCTGCCAGCAGCAGTAATCCCCTCTTAAAGTGGGAGTTTGCTGAGTACAGCTGGATATCTGATGGCTTTCAGTAACAGCCGTTTCCTACAAAATTGCAGTTACCATGAGAACTCCCTCAGCAAGCAACAAAGCAACATAAAGCAGTAGGAAATGAGCATTAAATAAGAGGGAAGTAAAACAGCACTGAGCACTGCCTGTTAGTGCTGCTGTGCACCTTTGTTTTCTGAAAGCACTCCAAATCAGCAGCTAAAAGAAAACTTAGGAGAGATGAAGCTTTAAAAGTGTAAAAATAGGTTTAACATTCGTAACACTCACAATATACCTGATGATACTGGGATACAGTGAGTCCCAAAATGGACAAGTTGGGAAAGGGTTCTGGATTCAGAAGAAATATCTTGGTTAGGTCTCGGCAACCAGCAACCACATCTCTGGGGCAACCAGCCTTAGCTCCATCTGTGTCTCTTGGCAGCACACAGCCCAGAAGATCTGTTGTTGCACAACCAGATACTCAGGCTTGGGCAGATGAGCAGTCGGCACTGCAGCAAGACCAGGTTCAACAGGATAAGATCTGGAGAGAGTCTGTGGAGGCTGAACAGAGAGGAAGAAAGATTTGGTAAGTCACTTGCTCCAGTTCATGCCTCTTCTACTCATCTTGACATTGGTACTGATTCTCGCTGACAGGCTTGGGGCTTGATCCCAAGCCTATACTATGAAAGAAAATTTTCTTCTGCAGGGACTTTGGATCAGACCCTATTATCTCTGTTTGTCTTCTCTGGACAAAATCTAGTATCTCCTGGCATGCTGGGCTTAAGCTGAAAGGGATGCAAAAAATTGCATGCTAAGTATCTTTTAGCTTTATAGAAATTTCCAGAATGAAGATTTAAATGTGCCAACCTTTATAATTTATTGCAGACACACTGATACTATCATGTCTTCTCATATTCTTGGAAATGGCTGAATGGGAGTTGAACAGAGTGTTCTGCCAAAATATGATTTTGTATTCCCAATCTGTAAATCTACTGGCCATGCCCCATTGTTACAGTGTTTGAGTAGACTGAACTACACACATACAAACTAAGCTTTAACTGTGTATACAGTGACCTTAAGGAACCCAAAATTAAGATCCTGTCTCTGCCACATATCTTGAGTGTTTATGCTCGTACTTCAGTACACAGCATGAACATGCCTGTTAGAAGAATATCCTTTGTAAAAACAAAATCAGTTGCAGCTCCCACTGTGCACTAGACAAATTAAGGGAAAGGAAGGAAAAAGAACATCACTCTCAGGATTTTTTAGAATGGAAAAAGAAACCATCTGAAAACCCTCATCCTCCTCAGCCTTCTGGAGGAGGTGCAAATAACAGCTCTGATTCCCCCAGAGATGCATTTGAAATCCTGTCTGGCTCCCTTTACCTGAGGGAAAGGCTGAGCCAGGACTCTTGCAAAGCCAGGGCCATGGTGGCAATGTTACTCTCCTCCAGCTGTGCATTCAGACTCTTGTCCAATGGGCCCAGCACATTCCATACCTGTTCCCTAGCTAAGGCAGCAGAAGAGACTGTACCTGCCCCCTGGGGTTCACAGTCAGGAACAGTGGTGCAAACTCATTTTCATGGGTAAGTAAGGTAACAGATTGTTCAGCTGATGCATGTTCTGCTCTGCAATCTTAGCTACAAAGACAGAAACTCTTGTAAAAGGGTAGGACGGGAATGTGAAGGACAGACGCCTAAAGCTGGATCCAGCAGACTACAAATGCTACAGCCTGCAGAGCACTGCCCTTCAGCTCTGTATCCCCTACCAGAATTGATGGTGGGGAAAGCCTGCTATGTGTTGGTGGTCTGACCTAAAATGGATATAGGTAAATGTCTGAGAGCCAAGCATTTCTCAGTAATTAACACCATCCAGTAACACCCAAATCTGTATGTTCAAATAGTGGCTGGCATAGTAAGATAAAAATTTTAGGACCTCTGTGCTGTGCCGTTATACCAAAAGGTATAGTGATAAATACGACAATCATAACTTAGCTTTTACATGCACTTAGGGTGTATATGCACTGGACGGGGCAGTGCAGCACAGGAATTCAATGCTCCTAGCTCAACGGGGAACATGGCTCTTCTGTAGAGATAAGCTCAACTCAGAAGGATGTACATTCAGCACAAGATCGGTGAGCTTAGATGCAGCACTGTATAGACGCAGGTAACCAGCTCAGAGAGTCAACCCTGGTGTCCCTTGAGCCCTGCTGCAAATACAGCTGTAGGCAACTGCTTTCTCTCTTGGCCTCACTGCACTTTTATAATAGCAGGTGAACTTTTGTTTTCTCAATTTCAGGCCAGGGAAACCAAAGGACAGAAAATGAAAGGACTTGCCCTGCAGTCCCACACCAGGTATAGAACTAAGCTGAAGAGCAAAACTGAGGCCTTCTGATTCAGTTTACTCCCAGCACAGATGCCTATCTGCACAAAATACTCCCATGGGCATTTGGCTGCAGCAAATACAGCTCTGGGTATTCCTACCAGGGACTTCTGCCAGCAGAGGATCTGTTACTTAGAAAATAAGAATCTTTGTCTTGCTCAAGTCATGGGTCAAAAGTTTGCTAGAGTGACTCAGGATTTTGCTTATTCATCTGCATTTGCACAAGGAATACACTGTGGACATGATAGGCTCATCTTCCTTTAGCAAAAAAGCTCCACTCCTCACATAGTATGAGGTTCCTATAGGAATAAAAAAAACCCCTGTGCTTCACCACAGAAGAGACAGGTTTTGGTGCAAAGAGGTTGCAGGTATAAGAGCTGGGTTCTAAGTATCAAATTGAGCAGTTAAATAGGTATTCAAATATGACCAACATTAACTATTCTAGCTAAAGACAGTCAATTTCACACTGCTATTTTTCACTTCTACCCCAAGGTACCAGAACTGGAGTTTCCTAAAGGACTACGACCAAATGGTAAGCTTTGAACAAACATTCAACTGTAATCCAGGTTCTTTTTAGTTTTCACCCATTTGAGCTATGCTAGTATTTAAAATTGAAGCATACTTAGGCATAATTGGCAAATGCTATCAGACTAAAATCTTCAGGAAAAATAAAAGAGAACTGAAGTGCCTTTCATCTGCTACCTATGCAGCAAAGAAATACAGCACACACGTGTTCAATCTGTTTCAGTATTAGCAACTCCCTAGAAAGACAAGTGAAGAACCAGCCTCCTAGGAGAAAAGATCGTGTCATCATGCTGAAATCCAAGACACTTAACTAAAAATGAAACAAAATACCTCCCATTTCATGACCATTCTAGACCAGGATAACTTCTGTCTCAGCTGACATTTTACGCAACACATTTGAAAATTATTCATTTCCCTGTGTTATCCTAGTCCCACAAAAGACAGGAAAAAAACAACTGTTTACTTCTTCAGCACTTTCGTGTACATTCAGTATGACATTTTTAAGTACATTCAAACTCTAACTTTGAAGGCAAAAGTGATGTTATAAATAACCTCAGTAACTTGTATTTTTGTAACAAGCAACGGATGTAATTCTGAAAACTTATTAATGGTGTTTGTTTTATCCAGGGTAAGAAAAAGGAGCAGAAGCCACTGCCAAACTATATGCCTGTGTTCTCAAGCAAAGTTCCCAACTCAACCAACCAGACTATTGGCAGTCGAATGGATACTGAACTTGGCAGGGATTTGGTAAACATGGATTACTTCTTCAGCACTGGTGCACGAAAGAGGAAACTTGATGGTGAGCTCCAGCCTTCCTAGCACTTTGGTAAAAATATAACAGTAACAAAGCAAGCTGAATGGTTCTAGCCAACAGATTCCACAGCAGGTAAAAATCCCTCAATCTTTTTCTCAGAGAGACCAATGCTACTCTTTAGCATGGATTTTCTTTCAACAGCAAAGATGGATGTTGTCCAACAATGCCACAGGAGACATTCCTCATTGTATTTTGGGTGGCTGGGCCATATAAAGAGGGTTGGAACTACAGACCTCATCCATCTTCCCATGCAGCCTACAGTAAGGCTGCCACTAACACCAGAAAGATCAAGATTACAGCCAAAAGGCAATTACTTCCTAAATTTTTATCTCCTGAAAATAAACAATTAATGAAGATCTGCTGAGTCCCAACACAAACAACATATTTCAGTTCTGAAAGTCAGAGCAATAAAATCAGCAGCGTGTTGCATTTAATGTAATTGGCCAAGGATTCATCAGCTCTGCCATTTGCATGTTTAAGCTTGCTCTAAATAATAAAATTTAAGGCACGTGAGATGTGTTCTGTGCTTTTTCATCCCTTCCTGCTGAGGAAAGGAGAACAATTTTTTTTCACACTGGTTTTCATTTTTGATTCTTTAGAAATGCTGCTCTCAAATTCCCTTAACTCTTGGAACTAATTGACAAGGAAGCAGGCTTTCACATTTTGCTCTGAAGGAGTGTTGGCTCAGCAACCTGTCTGACACTTTTAGGATCATCAACCTCGAATTTAACAGGTTCAGAGTTCCTAAAATCTGTGGTTGCCCAGGGAAACCAACATCAAGCTAAATCAATGCAATACCTGAAGCCTGTTCACCTGTGCATCTCCATTACATAGGTGCAAACTTTGATAATAACTTACATATGGCCTTTTGAGCTATATGTAGCTTCTGCAGGATCATGCTCAGTCCTCTGTGGAGATCAACATAGAAGCCATCAGCATTGCCTTGACACAACAGGTGGCAGTCTCTCACCACACTGAGATGGAGATGTATATACCTATGTTTTGCAACTAAGTCTATTTGTTTTTATGATTAGACCTCAGAAGGCAGTTTAAAAGCACAAGTGGTGGCATGAACAAGTGTCATCACTGTCAGCACCCAAAGAGTTTCTGGAAAAAAAAATACAACAACAACAAAAACACAAAAAAACAAAAGGAAAGGGAAAGGGAGAGGGAGGGGAGAGGAGAGGAGAGGAGAGGAGAGGAGAGGAGAGGAGAGGAGAGGAGAGGAGAGGAGAGGAGAGGAGAGGAGAGGAGAGGAGAGGAGAGGAGAGGAGAGGAGAGGAGAGGAGAGGAGAGGAGAGGAGAGAGGAGAGGAGAGGAGAGGAGAGAGGAGAGGAGGAAAAAGACACTGTAGAAAGAAGAGCCAAATCCCAGTCACTAAGTCACAGCACCAAGCGGTTTTCCTCCTGGCTTTCCCAACACAGACAGAACTGCAGGATTAAGGCTTTCAAGATGACAGCTAAGCTACCTAAAAAAAGGAGACCATATTATGCAATCAGCCCAAGTGGACTGATTCCAGTCAACGCAGACATGAATTCTGATAGACAACTGTGTTCAGAGACACCAAATAGGAACCTGCTTTTGAAAAAGTCATCTTGTTCAGCAAAAATGCTTTCTGCTCCCTCCTGTGAGCTGAAAACTGCACCAGGAACTGGTTTGTCTTCAAACATCTGAAAGAGGCAGAGGAAAGAGAAGATTATACCTTTCCTTGTCCCTGCGTTATCTTCCAAAACTACACAGGCCACTCAAGAGGTTATGTACTTACTGGTAACAGCATAACACTGAGAATCATTACACTTGCATGCCTTACTTGGAGACATACTGAGCAGCCTCAAGTGTTGATATGGGTCACAAACTCTGTACTGAGTGGCAGATGTCCAGTATCTGTTAGGCTTAAACTCCTATTCATGTAAGAAATCTCATTTATAAAGCATGGGGATTTTGTTTTCCAGCATGAAAGCGTATAGAGCTCCACGTTTCCTAACCTCCAGATGGCACTCACTCCACATCAGGTTATCTACTGAAAAGGACGCTAAGTTACACAATTCCCCGTCAATTTCAAGCGACATTAAATAATTTCAGATTCTTGACTTTGTTTTCCGTGTGTGAATCCAGAGAATCCTTCTTCCAGAGTTCCTTCAAACTGGAGGATATGGGAAAGAGCATGGTCTAAGCAATGCATGATTTAATCCCTCCACTTCACACTGGCTTTGTTTCAGCTGAAGTACGTCTCACAGTTTTGGGCAAGACCTTTCAGGTCTTACCCTAAAAATGTGTGCCACTAAGCAGTCTAGAGAAGCTGTGATGGTAACTGGAGTACAGAAAGGTACGGCTTATGATAAAACAATTAAAAAAGATTGGTTTTAATCTGAGGAAGAAACAGTCTGGCAAGAAGATAGTCTTTAGATACATTTATAGCTCTGGAATGAGAAAAGGTAACATTTGCACTTCACATGAGTGGAAGACAATAGTAAATATCAAAGGTTTCAATTACAGCAAGGCAGAATCATGTTCACTTTTTGGGAAGTTAGTGGTAAGGCTAATACAACACTGGAATTGATTCCCCAAGGAATCTCCATGTGTGATGGTTAAACACACACATCCATCAAGAGTGATATATTAAATACAACTTGTCTTGAACTGAATGACCATCTGAAGAGCTTTTCACCAATTTTCTGACTACCCCAGAGTTCTTGGGATCAAAAAACACTTTGCAAACTTGGTTTTTCAAACACATTCAAAAAGAAAAAGAAAATCCTATTTCAGTTACACCAGATTTAAAGAGATCACACCTCTAAAATACATATTAATCACCTAAACTTGTTGATAGAAAATTTATTTCTGATTTTTCTAATTACTTATAGCAAATGCTTTTCACGAAGTCTAGATGTGCCTCTTTCTTTTAATCACACTCACCTAAGACACTTGACTAGTGCCCTCCTGACAGCCATGCAAGAACACTTCTCAAAGAGCACATTCATATCCTTAGGTCACGTGATCAATGGCAGCAACTAATTTTCTTTCAACAGTTTCAGGAAGCCTTTACTAATGAAGTGTAGTTCTGATTGAGACACCTCACCCGCAGTCAGGTCACGCTGCCCTCTGTAATTCAGTCATTAAAGGAGACATTTAGAAATACATAAAATCTCAAAACTCTTGAAATAAATGCCCCCCATATAGAATTTTTATTTAAAAACTGTGTTTCTGTTAATAGAATTTAAATTAAGCTGTTCAAAGACAATAAGACTCCAAAGGAAGAAATGAAAATGAGACACTTATCTTGTCTCATAAGATCAGTGACTCCTGTAAATCCAACTGTGGTTCTTAGAAACTGTAAAACTGTTTCTTGATGTAGTAATTACTCTAAAACAAACAAAATAACTACACGGATTTTCCTACAACAGTGGTCTCATCATGCTGTGGAAATTACTACATAAACAGTAAGATTTCCAAATAAGGATAGGAGAAGAAAATTATGTATGAACCTTAGAAGGACAATACTGCCAGTCCAGACATCATATGTTTGCATGTATTATTCATGTGTATACACATTCACAACGTTTCCTTTCTATAGAACAAAATTTTTGACCTGAAGTTCATCTTAGAGCAGACAATGTTTTCTGAAGTGGGCTGTTCTTTTTGGTTTGTTGGGTCTCAAGCTGCTTTTCCTAAATCCTGCTGAGACAGAAACCAATAAAACTTTCTTAAAGCAGGATGCCCTTCTTAAAACTCAGGTATGCTTTTCTCTCTTCAGAACACTCCATGTTTGCTTGAATGAATTCCTTGAAACACAAATGCTTCTCCAAGAAACTCAGAAGTTCTGCCAAAGGCTGAAGAGGTGCTTGTGCAGTTCTGTCAGCTGCAGCCCCATCCACAGACCTCTTCTGTCACAGGGCATAGATGCCACAGACTGACTTCAGCTTGTAACCTTCTCAAAGACTCTCTCAGAAGCTGTACGTATCCACCAGTTCTTCTAAATGGAACTTCCAAGTATCAGGAGTTACAGTCTCACCTCAGCACAAGACCTTCATGCCAGGTTGATGGAGCAAAACTGCCGAAAATGTCTCTTAACTGGAAAATGCCCACAGGAAAGTCTCAGTTGGCATACACTGATTGAAAAATTGCATTAAGAAGTAATCTGCAAATATACAGGCATGATAGCTATAAAAATTATGAGATTGGGTTTCACTCTATGACTTTGACCTGATCACTTCAAATCTATGTCTATTTTCCCCATTCACTAATGATCAGTTATCATCACTGGATGTATTCTATGTGATCTGTGAATTAACAAATGTATTCATGCAGTAACTCTTATTTCAACTACGGCTATTGCTCAGAAAGAGACACAAACCAAACCAATGATGTAGCACAGAACCATCTAAAACTATTACAGTGCTTATTAGCAGTAACACAATTATATTTCTTAAAAGGCAAATGGACTGAAAACACAACATCTATATCAACTCTTCTATAGCAAAACTTAACAGAACGCTGACACATTGCTAGCACTGTATTACCACAGGGCTACTTAATGGCTTTCCAGTGACAAATATAAAGCCACAGGGTGAAAACAGTACATGGCAGTGTTTCAGACACAGTAAGCTGTCTTCACTGGAACAAGCATGATTATACATACTGTGGCTATTCCTCACAGTGCTGGCAGATCCACTGGCAAGCTCTGGGAGCATCATAAGATGTCTAGCAAGAATGCAGGAAGCATCGCACACCAAGATGTCAGAAAGGGCTGCCACAATGTACTCACACTCAACTCTTACTGAATTTGAGTAATTCAGAGGTAAGCATGGATCTAGAACAGTACCAGTTCCAGATCCAAATGCTACAGTTCAACCTCTTCTCTGGGCTACAAGCTCAATGTAGATTTTCAACATAAAAGGGACAATTTCAAGTTTAATATGAAAACCCATTTAAGGAGTTCCAGTACAAACTCGTTAATATTTTCCTTCCCTTATGCTCCTTCCAGTTCTTTGGCTTTTGGGTTAGGTTTTTAAGTCTGTGTTTCACATTTTAGGCTCTTTAAGTACTACTTTTCAGCTATCCTATTATTTTACATAACGTGCCATTACCCAGAATGGCCTTCAGTTAACTAAATAAACCATTTCACAGAGCAAACACTGAGACGACAAGGTCCAGGGATTTTTTGCTTATGGTAGTTTCATTCCATTGGTGATACTTCTGTTCAGCCTAACATCAAGTAAATGTTAAATAAATGCAGCCATGTTTCCAATTTTCCACAAATATATATAACATACTACACACAAAACTAATGAACTACATGCAACCTCCAGTGTTTCTTTTACACTCCTACCACACACATTTGTATAACATAACCTCAAAAATGAAGTATACAGGGATCCATTGGACTTCTTTAGGAAGAGGAGGTTCTTCCTAACAGTGCTGAAACAGTCATTCTGCCACTGGGGAGTCTCTCAGCACTCCTTCCTTATGGTGAGCTTTTGTGATGACTCTGCATCAGCCTTACTACTCAAGTTAGCATCCTTTCATCACAGTAGTCATCATGAGCTATGCCACCCTGTCCCTGCGATCCCAGAGGTCACAGTTTTGCAACTGCGCAGGTATATCAAAATTCCTCTGTTCTCCACCTCCCACCACCCCCACCCCCCAGGCTGTCCCTGTTCACACAGGGTGTTCGCACTCCCTTCTCAAGGCAAGTGAGCATGACTCCCACAGCCTGCTGTCCCTGGCCATCTCTGTCCACTCCCAGGCTTCCTCCACACATCTCCTAGGGAGCTGTCTCCATCCCCACAGGTTCCTCAGTTGTGGAACTTTCTTTATGCTAACCTAAAGCTTAAACTACCAATTATCTATCAAGTGAACTATTCCCCTGCTGGCATGGTAGGCTGAGGAAATAATGAGCCAGAGTGCACTCTGCATTCCTTGCAAACCCACAGAATTCAAGACATCGTTTTGCTTAAAAACTCAACTATGATAAGCCAACATCATTATTGGAAAAAATTCTTCTGGTTTGGCATTCTGTCTTTGGTTCTTATAGAAAGATTATTTTCCTTCTTTTTGTTTCTAATGGGAATCAACATTTGCATTCCTCCTTGAAGTGCAACAGCATTAAACCACTGCCCACCTGCTGTGAAACAGACAATCTGGGCTGTAGATTCAACTGTAATGAATTTATTACTGAATTGTAATTTAAAGTGGTTCTGCATTCCTCTGCAACTTATCAAGTAGAAGAGTCTGGAATTTGATATGAAACTAAGTAATATAAGCAGAATAGGAAGAATTTCTTATACTCTTCTAATTTTTTTTTTTTTGGTCATAACCTTGAATGGGGCTGCCCAGCACTGTGATGGCTCTTTCTTCCCCAAGTTGCTAGTTAAGTGGCCAGTAAAAAGATATAGAAGATTATCTTTAAATCACTTTGCTTAACTGACTGCTTGCAGTGCATAGCAGGATGTATTTTTAAAAAAGCTGAAATGTTGACTGAAGTTAAATGTTTGTCTTTGTTAAATATAAAAATAGCTGAATGAAAAAATGCTCATGGACCTGCTTAATAGCTTAAGGTCAGTTCAGCTTGTTGATGACTCTAGTAGGATACAAGGCAGTGCGTTCTATTGGTATTTTTACTGCATCTTGTTGGATCAGCATCCACACAGCAATACACAACTTTAAGTATTTATATTATTATTTTCAGATTATCTGAAGTGATAGACACAACTACACCCCAAATCTCATTTTAAATGAGGTAACTTCATCTTCTCTAATGGCTTACTCCACTTTATTTCAAGTAAACAATACTTCCAGAAGGCTGAGAATTTGGTTTACCAAGAAGATTTTGGAACAGCTTTAATTTTTATATTACAATTTTCATTTCTTCCTTTGGAGTCTTATTGTCTTTGAACAGCTTAATTTAAATTCTATTAACAGAAACACAGTTTTTAAATAAAAATTCTGTATGGGGGGCATTTATTTCAAGAGTTTTGAGATTTTATGTATTTCTAAATGTCTCCTTTAATGACTGAATTACAGAGGGCAGCATGACCCAGAATTCAAACAGTGTTTTAAAATACCACAAAAAGGTATGTGGAATGAATGCAAACAGGTTTGTCAAATCATATTATCAAAACAACAGAAAACAATTTGTGAGAAATGCAAAAGAGCTGAAACTAAACTGCGCCAAGAACTATCAGGCATACAGAAATGAAACTTCCACTGAAATGAAAAGGAAGAAATGTTATGCCTGAAAATAATCCCTCGTGTTAAAGCAATTATGCTGTAGGTAAAAATCTGATTAATGGTATGGATTTGACATGGAGTTGTCCTAGCCATATGCTGGTACGAAAGAACCATGTATGTGCACGATCAATACGAATGCATTTTCCTTGGATAACTGCTCTTGCTCAGTTCTGACAAACTGACGCGTATGGAAGCTTTAAGGACTGTGCTTCACTGTTTCTGTGCGTTACTGTGCATGGTGGGTAGGTGTGCATTCCGGTGAAGTTGCTCCATCTCTGATAAGCTGACAAGTCTGGCATTCAGAAACATTTATTTTTGCTTAACTTTCCTTCTGTGCAACCAAGACCACTGCTGTCAGAACTACACCACTGCTGCTGCTGCAACCAGCACCAGTGTGTCTTGAAACCATGGGAGCTGGAACACTGGTGACTCCATTTTGGGTCAGAAAATGGAAACCCAGCTTGCAGGTCCAAACCATGAGCCGACCACCAGTCCTAGATGAACACAACCCATGGCTAACTGTTTAAACCAACACAGCATATGATGATTACTGTTTTGTGGCTTTTATTTAAGGCAATAAAGAATAAGTCCAGGGACAACGCTCATAGTTTCTCGGCCCCAACACCGAGGATCGTGACCTGTGGGTAGGCCCACAGCCAGCGGCATGGAGACACCCGGGAGACTCGGCTCCCGCACGCACCTGCTCCCCGTTCCCCGCGGTGCTGCAGGAAGCACTCCCCCTTCCTGAGGAAACCGCACCGCCCTCCCGGTGTTGCCAAGAGCGGCCCTCTGGGCTGGCGAGACGCGGGCCTGATGCCGACCTTGGGACGCCGGCTGCCGGGCCGGGCCCGGCCTTCCTCTGCCTGCAGGCCGGGCGGGCTTCGAGCCCACGGCCCCACGCCCTACGCCCCGGGCAGCGCGGGCGCCATGAGCGCTCCGTGACGGCTGGGGCCGGGCCGGGTCGGGTCGGGCCGAGCTCCCCGCCACACCCCGCCACGCCGCACCGCACCACACCGCGGGTTGCCCAGTTCGGCTTGCCGCGGGTGTGCAGCGCAGCAGGATGGCGCCGACGCTGCTGGAGCTAGCACACTGGAGCACCTGGGCCGTGTGCGCCGTGATCAAGCTGCCGCAGCTGGCAGCCGTGCTGGCGGCCGGGTCGGCGCGGGGGGTTAGCACGGGCAGCTTGCTGCTGGAGCTGGCCGGGTAAGGCCGCGGCGGGGAGGCCGGGGGGCGACATGGAGGCTCCCCCTCCCTGCGCGGGGGCGGCGTGCGGCGAGAGGACCGTTGGGGCTCGCCTCGGCGGGGCTTCCTTCAGCTGCGGGCGGGACGCTCGGCGGTGTCAGTTGGTGATGGAGTTCCTGCCTTAGCAGGGCCGGCCGCGCACAGGAGGGTGTTGAGTGGCGGGGCGAAAGGGTCGGAGAGCAGTCCTTGCTCTCTTCGGTTTGAAATGGTCGGAGAGCAGTCCTTGCTCTCTTCGGTTTGAAATGGTCGGAGAGCAGTCCTTGCTCTCTTCGGTTTGAAACTGCTCCTTACTGTCACTCACGGTCAGCCTCCGCTGAGCCTGCCCCCTCCCGGTTCCCCTGTCATGTGAGTGTGCCGTGTCCTGCATTCGTTGGGCGTACAGGCGTTTTGGAGCAGAAACTTCCCGTTTTAGTGTGTTTCCGCGCTGTTGCTTAAAGGGAAACTCGGCTTTTTTTGGTTTTTTGTTTTTTTTTTAAACTTACCCCAAACCAGCGTGAGACAGGCAGTGCGGCTGGAGTGAACACCTGCTGTTTGGTTTATGTCATGTATTTAGGTTATTAAATGGTCCGTGTGCCATGTTGTGCAGGTAATTGTACTAGTTAGACGGGCTTCTCTCATCTGAATATGTAAAACATTCTTTAAGAAAATTATAAACCGTGTCCAATTGTAAAGATTTGTCAGTCTGTAATAAGCTTACATGGGCTAGGCTTATTAAATCTTGCTTAAATAGGATTGCATGGAATGAGAAATAAGTAAAGTGCATGTGCATGCACATTCATGTGCATGATGTGTTCCAGGCCAGGTTGGATGGGGCTTTGAGCAACCTGGTCTAGTGGAAGGTGTCCCTGCCCATGGCAGGGATTGGAACTGGATGAGCTTTAAGGTCCCTTCCAACCCAAACCATTCTGTGATTCAAATGTGGGTACAAGCATGTGAGAGAAAGTACACTGAAGAGTCTCATCTTTGCTGTACTGAGGAATGGAGATGGCCAGAACATGTAGCCATCCACACCAAGCCAGAAAAGGGCTTTCTATTCAGAAAAATCACCTCACAAAAATTAGACTTTGTTTCTGAAAGCACCTGTGCCTCATCTTCGGTTAGGTGCACAGCAACTGTCCACCCAGCTCTGGCACTGCAGAGGCTTGGACATACAGACACCTCTTTGCATGGAGCTGTGCAGAATTGTCTTGGTGTCTGCTGTGGCTGTTTGTAGCCCATGTTTATCCATGGCACTGAGCCCTTGTGGTTGCTTTTTACCCTTACACGTAAGAGTAGTGAGCTAAATTCTAGTTCCAGCAGAGATAACTAACCTTCCCGCCCAGCCAGAAAGCAGTTTTAAAATGAATCATGTGAGTTGGTGTGCATTAGAAAGGCTTTTTAAGAACGTTTCAGAAGAGCAGGGAGAAGCCGTAAGTATATCCTCAGCACTTGCGTCATAACCACAGTACCCACACCAGTGCAGGATGTGCAACTGCTCTGGGCAGAACTATTTTAAAAGAGTTGCAGCAAAGCTTTTTTTAAACTTCTGTTAGGACTATTTGTTTATTTAGTAGGTTATTTATCCCACAACCTTTAGAAATGTTGCAGCTGCAGGGAGCTTTGGAGCTACTGGTATAAACTGGGATGGTTCTGCGGAGTCAGCATGCAGTGACCTGGCAGAGGAGTGACACAGAAATATGGTGCTGATGGCAAGGAGTCCAGTTTGACCCTAAAGACTTCTAGGAAATTCTGATATTTAAATTCTGAATTCTGTAAAAGCCAGTTTCTTACAAGGCAAGTAGTTCCTTCCCTATTACATCCTTGTACACTGGAAACCCATCAATTTTTCCTCACATAAAACTATGCCCTAAGAGTCCTTTCTGTTTTTTAATGCAGCCTTCAAGTTTCTGTCTGTCTGCATGGGCTTGCATGAAAGTTGAAGACAGTAAAGAAAACATCATAAAAATTAAATGCCTTTTCGATACTTTATTGTGGAGTGGCAGGAAGGTGAACTGTCTTTGTTTTATGCAGTAAAGAATAGGCTCTTAGTCTAAGCAGCACAGCTACACTACGCAATCGGTGTGGTCTAGACACCTTGGAAGATGTTTTCTGTTCCTGTAAACTTGCTGAACGTATAGATTGAACTGCAAACATAAAGAAAGAAATCAAGAGTTATCGCAGAGGCACCAAGGCAGTTGCAAAGTGAAGGTATCTTCTAGGTCTGGTCTCTCTTCGTCATCAGTTGTAATTAATAAAATTACACGTTACACACTGTTACATGAAGACCTGGACAAGAAGTGTGGGCAGCTCTCTACATCTTACTCTGTTGGAGGGTGACAGAAGTAGACTGTCGAATCATCAGCCTTGCACTTTGGCTTCATGTTCATTTGATCGGTTTGACAACAGGTGCTACACCTATCTGGAGCCTTTGGCACAATCAAACCAGCTGTGAAGGATCTGTCCTGTTCCTTTGTGCAGTCACACTGTTTTGTGTCTTTCTGTTCAGCTTCCTTGTGTTTCTGAGATACCAGATCTATTATGGTTATCCCCTGCAGACATACCTGGAATATCCCATCATCATTGCACAAGGTAATTTTTTAAGCCATGCTTTGGAAATAAAACAGGGCTCATTCAGCACTCGAAGGATCTGCATGTAGGTGCAGTACTCCAGTGCAGTGATGTTAATCTACTGACCAGTTCTAGCTGGAACTGGGGAAAAGAGGGAATGCACATCTCCAATGTAATTGAATTCTTATAAATTTTATGAAAACATTATTGGGTAGAAGAAAAAGATCTAATACACACATGGAGTTGCAGTGTAAGTTCCTCCTTTATCTGGTAACTCCACGTGGGAGAAAAACATTATAAACACTCCAGACTCTTAAGAAAAGCTTCATTTTGGAGTTTGCACTGTTTTAGACACAATCAAATTTGAGAGACAAAACCCCGTAAGATACAAGTTTCCATAGATGTGGCACCCAGTGGTGCATTTGGACCCTTCTCTCCCTTCTGTGACAAGCAATCTTTTCTTTCTTTCAGATGTCATTCTTCTTTTGTTTATTCTGCATTTCAATGGAAACAAGAAACGAGCTTTGTTCTATGCAGTCATGTATCCTTTGAAATCTGGGAATTTTGGTGTATGTAGCTTGTTTGGTAGTTCTTTGCATAGCAGCTATGATGTCATTTGTTTTGTGCTACTGTTGTAAATAATTTTCAGCCACCCTTCCACATTACATGCTGATTTCTGGGATCCCAGTAAAATATCTACAAGACATAAGCTTTATGTGCTTTAGAAGGACCACAACTGATTGATAAGGAGTAAGAGCAATGCTTCATTTCCATCTTTGCTAGAGGTGCAGGGTCGAAATGATGAATCTGTTTTCTTGGATTCCTATCCACGCAAATTGTACTTGCTGTGATGAATACAGCAGTGTTTGAGGTTTTTTTTAAATCTCAAGTCTTGTGCTTTGGAGCAGCTCTGGAGAAACTCCAGGCACTGTTCAACCAAAGACAGTGTGAAGAATAGGAATACTTAGTGTTTCAAGCAGTGCTTAATGTTTTATGTAGATTGTATAGTCTTACAAAAGTTTCAATAAGATTTTATCCAGATGTTTAAAAAAATCTAATTCCCTAGGCAGTTTTGGAATCCTAGAATTTTCAGTGCTATGAACCTTAACATAATGTAAGATTCTGGGGGGGCTGGTACATGATAACACTTCGGAAGTGGATAATAGACCTGGCCTTGGTAAGTGCTGCATGATTATTTGAAATTAGGTCTTCATATGAAATAAAGATTTTTTTTCTGGAAATCTTTATCATTGAAATCTCTCCTTATATTTGTCCTTAGAAGAATTCATCATTTAGGTTAGCTTTCAGAACAACTAGCCAGTTTTCAAATACAGCTGGTTCTCACTTCTGTGAGTAGCACTGGCAAGAGACTCAGGTGGGTTGGTGGAGTTATGTTCTGAGGTTAAGGTTGTTAATTGTGGTGCCTTAATTAAAACTAGCAAAGGTTTAAGCTGGTGAAAAAGTATTGCCTCTTTAGTCCTAATGTCATAATCCTGATTAGTAAACTTTACCACGAGAGGAAAGCAATAGAGCATCAGTCAAAGCATTTGATACAGGGAATGTTAAATATTTCACAAGATCTTTTTTCCCTTTTGGCCTAGAATTTTGCAAGGAAGCTACCATCTGATAATGCCTTACATAGGTTAAAGAATTTTTTCCCCTTATAATCAGAAGAAAGTTAAAATTGAACTGAGATGAACTGGAGTTGCTAATGCAAAAGATGATAGAAATGAGGATAAAAGCTTCTAAGCCTAACAGTGATCCTTGCTTGCAAGGGAAATCTGGGCATGTGGAGGTCCCCTCTACCTGCTGCCTTTGAAAATCCCCCCCTCAAAAGGATGACAGAGTGAATAGTCTGTTCCCTTCATTTTTTTTCCCCACCAATTGGACTAATCTTCCACACATTCTAGTTAGTTTTCTCATTCTTTGATGGTTTAGCTTGCCAGACATAATGGTAACAGATGGTCTAAATCAACTTTGCTGTTTAGACTAGACCAGTCTCATTTTAGCTAACTGGTATAAACAGTTTTATGTAGCAGGTTGAGAGGCTTTTTAGTTTGTTTGCTTCTTACTGTATTTGCCTCTCTCAAGCATTTGCCAACAGTAGTAGCAGTTGTGCTCTTTGAGTTTCTTTCTCGGCAGTACCTTGGAAATTGGTCTCTCTTCTGGCAACTTCAGTTTTTTGCTTTATGGTTCCTTAGTAAGAAGCTGAAACGCTTGAGTTGGCAAATACTGAAAAAGCATGTACAGTTTTTTATTCTAAATGAAAACTTAGTCACGGTTTTTGCTGAGTTACATACTAACAGCCATAAGCTAAACACTGAGGTAGTGCAATGGCAGAGACAGAGGTTCTTTCTCGTTTTTTTAATCTGCTTTTCAGAATTTGTGTACATTCATCAGTGCGGCCAGTAAGCTGGCTCAGCTGCAGTGTCTCTGGCAGACAAAAGATTCTGGACAAGTCAGCGCCTTGACCTGGAGTATGTCTGCATATACCTGCGCAAGTAAGCGATGGGCAACTCGGTGTGAATCACTGAGTTTTCCTCTTTTAAAGCAGTACCTCTTAATGCCTCATTCAGTAGGTCTTTACTCAGTCATAGTACGTAGAAATATTGCCTAATAGGGTTCCCCTCAGTGCCAACTTCTGGGACTCAGATACAACACAGGTCTTGAAGTCAAGTTTTATCATTGAGACCAATGACATTTTCACTTAGAAAACATGCAAATATTCTCAAGATAACGTGGTACAGTTGAAATAACTGAGTGTCTTTACAAAGAAACAATTTCAATGTTGTAGGATTTAATAAAATTACTAGTGATCCAGCATGAAAAGGTACTAAATTTTGAGTTGGACAACACTAATTCTGAGAAGTCATCAGTATCTGAAGGGGGCCTATAAGGATGCTGGGGAGGGACTCTTCATTAGGGACTGTAGTGGTAGGACAAGGGGTAACGGGTTCAAAATTAAACAGGGGAAGTTTAGATTAGATATAAGGAAGAAGTTCTTACTGTGAGGGTGGTGAGGCACTGGAATGGGTTGCCCAAAGAAGTTGTGAATGCTCCATCCCTGGCAGTGCTCAAGGCTGGTCTGGACAGAGCCTTGGGTGGCATGGTTTAGTGTGAGCAGGGAGGTTGGAACTAGATGGTCTTAAGGTCCCTTCCAACCCTAACTATTCTGTGATTCTAAATAGGTACACACTTACTGCTAAATACCTTTAATACTGTGACTATGTGTAAATGTTTCTAAACAGAGGCAAATTTAAGAACATGCAAAGAACAGTGATTTGTACAGTTCATGTGTTAACTAGCTAGTGGTTTGCATGAACAGTTCTTCTATAGCTATTTGTCAGAAGTCTCTGTCACATTCGCAAAACTTGTTCATAATGTTCTTACTGTAAAACACAGTGATGCCAGATGTATTGCCCTGTGAAACATAATTATGAATTGTGGTATGTTCACTGAACAATGGCAGTGAACTTTCTAAATGGTTTTAATATGCTGCAAATGTGAAATAATTAATGTTTAGATTTGTTGTGGGTAGGAAAGCTGGATTCCTCTTATTTGCAGAAGCCTAAAAGCAATCACGTGAACATTCACAATGGCCAAGTCATGCTAACTTGGTTGTGGGTGTAGCTCAGTAGCAGCTACCAGAGGAGAGAGCTGAACAGAAAGAGGAGCAGTAAACTCTGCCTACATCCAGTACAGTGAGAGAGACAGAAAATTCTAATTATATCAGTCATTTTCTCATTAAAAAAGACCATTAATACAATGTCACACAGCTTTGAGAGCTTGATCTCCGAAGCTAAAACAGTGATGCACAGAAAGTGGGAATATCTCTACAGAGTATATTATTATGCAAGTATTTTACAAGATTATCCTCTATTGAAAAATAGATATTTCATCATTTTTGAGGGTATAAACATGTTGTATCTAATACACTAATAAGAATTCATTCAATTTACAGCAAGGATATTTACAACCATAGTGACTACAAATGATCTTGGGGGTGAGTAAAGCCTGGAATTGCCTGTCTTTCCAAGGTAATGCAGTTATCTGGTCTCAGAAGACCAAACCATGAACTTGGTATACTGGCACTGTGAGGGAAGAAGTTAAAGCTAAGAAAGGAGCACAGGGTTACACATCAGTGAAATACCTGGGGAAAACAAACAAACAAACCTGCTTACGCTTATCGCTTGGTGACAAGTGGTCCAGAATTATTTTTTTTCAAACAGTAAAAGCATTACAAAATCAACTTAATTATGAAAGTAGCAGAATAAATCATTAAAAATCTTTAATATTTAAATACATAAATAAATAAATTTAGTAAAATACAACTTAAACTGTGATAATTGAGTGTTAGTTTTTCCAATAGTAAGTGCTTCTTATTGGGGGGTTTGTGCAATAAAAAATTCTTCTAGAAATCTGAAGTTCTAGAACTCTTAGTATATCAATAGTTTTAGGCACATTCAGAAAGTTTATTGCAGGCTGAAAATGAAATAGTAGGCTGGTAAGATATAAAAAAACTGGCTTAAAACATGTAATTTGCATCCGCCTTCATCATAAAGCAGATTCATTTAACAGCTGCTTACCATCCTGACAAAACTGAAAGAGCTAAGGAATACAGCAGATTTTTCAGTAAGTGGTTCAAAACAAGACTTGGTGGATGTAAGACAAGTAACAAAATCACATTGTACTTTATTTGGTCCTTGTTCTGGTTCAAAACTCCTGTTTCATCAGAAACAGCACTAGAATGGATTTATTTATTTTTTTAAGCAGCACACTGCAGCACAATAAGGCTGTGGTTTTACAAGCAGTTAAAGTGGCTCTTCCTCAGGAAAAGGAAGTCCCTGGCTCAGTCACTCATTTCCACCCCTATGCTTGCTGCTTTCTCTTTGCCAGAGGAAGAGTCTGTGGGGCCAGGCAGTTAACTGGCTCACCAAAAAATTGGCATAATGCACACGCAGACGTTTAGTCTAGATCAGTTATCAAGTTCAGTTTGCCCACAGCTACACACTTACACTGATGAGAGAAGCAAGAGAGGTGTATTTAGGGGAGGAGGGAAGGGAGAAAAACATCCTGAATGTAAAAAGCTGGCTCTGGTTGCAGCTGCTTTTAAAAATTCAGCACAGGATGCACTGGGGCATGAAAAAGATGGCAGCAAACATTGATGCTGTGCTGATCTAATGGGAAATTAAAATTTAACTTCTAACTGAACACTTTGGCATGTTCCTCTTGGTTTCATACAGGTGTATGAAACTGTCAAATATCACGTATTTCTCAAAATAAATCTTGTGCACATTTCTGTGAATATTGCAGATATCAAATGTGTATTAGCAATACCTACACTTCCAATTGTGCACTCACAGGCAGAGACTTTTTTTGGTTAAAAACCCTACTTTTTTCTCAGTTGTCAGATTTTCTCTCATTAAAATCAGACAGATACAAGTATTTCCTGTCTCCCCAAAGTCTAAACTTAACAGGTGACACTACAGAATAATCCCTTTATTGTAAACAACACGCACAGTTATAAAGGGCACGTGAGAGGAAACTGAGTTTAATTTTTGGTGTAAATATACATTTTTATGAGGCTACTCCAGACTTCTACTGTTAAAGGTACTGTAGCATATTATTTTTAACTATAAATTTTAAGTTAAATGCTGTCCTCTGCTATATTTACTCAAATTGCTTCTGTGTTCCTGAATTAATTGACTGAAAAGAGTTGCAGAATGGGACCCAGCCTATTTGCAGACCAGGGAAGATTAGAAAACAGCTTGTCCTCTGAAAATGACCACAGTTGACATGTTTTGATTTATGCTTACAAGATATTTTTTTTTTCCCCCTTTTAGTTCTCATCCGTTTCATAACCATGCTCATTCTCAATATTTGGGTCACAGCCACAATCCTGCACTACAGGAAGACTAAAAAGACTGATTAGAAGACACTCCTCAGCACATACCACAGTTACCATCAAAACCCTTGACACAATTAAGGTTAAACAACAGAAGAAAGGTTGAGGAAGCTCCCTGTCTCTCTCTTAAGCCTGGTATTCATCCCTAAGCATACCTAGTACGGTCATGCTTGTTTTCTCTTAGAAATAATTCTGCTAAGATAGATACTTAATTTAAGCAGCATATTTTTATTCGTCATATAAGACAAGCTTCACTGGTATCACATTTTCTATGGGATTTTTTACTAAATGAACAAGGTATTTCATATTTAGATGTTTATATATTCTCGTATCACTTCAGTACTTCTGGTTACATATATGCGATTTTCTTCAATTTTGCATCAACATAGCAACTCATCTTTCTTCATCTGCTGTATGAAAAACAACAGATGTTTGTCTTCCTGCAAGCAACTCACTTAGTTTAACTATCTGTATTTTAGGATGAAGAAAACTAAAGGCCAAATCCAAAATCAAGTTCTAAATGTGTTTTGCTAAGTCACAAATCCAGCTGGGACTGTTGTGCTCACATGAAACACTTAAATAGCGGTTTGTACAGCTGACACAGGATACCTAGTCACTTTCCTCAATACACCCAGTTTTGATTAGGATAAGAGTAAAACCTCTGCTCTGAATTTTAATTTTTCAACCTAAGCTCTCATTCACTGAACATACAGTTTTGGGAACAGGAGAGACTAGAATGTGTAGTAATTAATGAAACTTTGAACAACAGTGTTAAAAACCGCATTCAAACAGGAATTCCTGAACCGATACCCAGGCTCCCCAAATGCAGTCCCTATGGAGACTGGCCTAGCCGCACGTGCGCTTTTAGGTGCGCAGCATTGATTCCTCCCCAGTGGTTCACAGTTAAGATACTGCTCTGTGCTCTGTCAGTTTTTAGCCTGTCTAAGTTTGCTGAAGAGCATACAGGCTTCACTTAAATTTTTACTTTGCAGATGCTAATCAATATGCATACTGGCACAGGTTGCCCAGAGAGGTGATGGATGTGAATGTCTTCATCCCTGGAGACATTCAAGGCCAGGCCAGATGTGGTTCCGGGCAACCTGATCTAGTTGAAGATGTCCCTGCTCATTGCAGAGGGGGTGGACTAGATGACCTTTGAAGGTCCCTTCCAACCCAAACTATTCTATGATTCTGTGATATTTAAAAAGGTAAAATCTTGAGAACTATTAACAGATCTGGAAGTAATGCCTTTCCAGTCAAAACTCCAAACAATTTGATTGTTTGGAGAACAATCAAAATTCATTTTCCAAAATGAAAAGATAGGTATTTCATGAGTTCTTACAGTATTATTGATTATTGACAAGTTAAAATCATGGCACCCTTGATCTTGACACCCTTGATAACTAGTGACAGACTCTACTGACGTCACTTGAGGCAGGTTTTCCTTGCAAGACACTGAATCACAGGACTCTTGTGGAAGAGGGGGATTTTCTCTGCAACAGCAAAAGTAGCTGTTTGTGCCAGAGCACACTCCAGTCAGACCGAGACCTCACCATCAGAGAGCACAGCTGCTCTTTCCCATTTGAGTGGAAAGTGCTGGGAAGAGATGCATCTGTGGACATGATTTCACGTATCTCACATTCTCGAGGGCAAGCTCGAAGATGAACACTTTTCATTGCTCCAGTAAAATGTATGCATGTCTCTATGTTGGTTGAGAGAGTAACTGCAAATATCCTGTTACTGATTCTAGTAAAGCTGTGTCAGATACCTGAAGTGGTCTAAATGGTGGCAGGTGGCATGTGATGTATTTTCCAGGTCTTGTTAATAAATGCTATTTTTCATGACTGATCAATGTCATTCTTACAGTTAAGTTTCATTGCATTTAATTTTTATTTTGTTTCAGTATATGGAGAGAAAATTAAATACTCATTATGGGTCATTAATTGGCAGTTTTCACCTTAATACTTGAAACATCAGGCTGTGCATTCACCTGCAAAATACTAAAGAGCTCCAGCATCTGAAAAGAACAAAACACTTCCCATCTCATTTTCTTAACTAAAGCCTCTTCTTGATAAAGATTTGTGTAAAGTCCAAACCTTCTCTGTTAGTGACTTCTTTTATAGTCCTGAATGATGCTGTAGCAAATTGAAGACCTCCATTTTCAGTTTGAGGATCAGCACTGCAAGTTGGTTTTTTTCATCATAAAATGCTGAAAATGTGATTAAGAAAACTTCTCTACACATTACTTAACATATTTTTAATAAAGCATTTTAGAAACCTGGGGGGGGGGGAAGACTGAGGAAAAGAAGGCTGGGGAATTCACAAACTTAAGGTAAAGTAATTTTGTGGACTTGGAAAGCTGGACCACGAGTTCTCATTCAAGCTGCAAGAGATATGGAACAAATCAGAAGGTAGCAAAAGTTCTACACACTTTTTTTTTTTCCCCAGAGAACAATTTCTGTCACTTTGGAGAGGCAGACATAGGCTCAAGTCCTGGGCAAGCCCTAAGAGAGCGCAGCCCCTGTGGTTTTCCAGTACATAAACTGTAACCTCCAGGGCTGGGTTAAAGGACAAGAACAAGGGGAGGATAAATCTTGTTAAACTTGTCATTCAACAGCATCGGGAGAGGCCAGCAAATTGTCTGCCACATGATGCAGCAGCAATCCAAAGGCAGGAAGGGCCAGACAGCACTGCAGATTTACTGCAGTGTGGGTAAGGCAGGAAGTGTCTGTCATCCTCAGGGCAGGAGGTGACATGTCTCCATTGGCAGGTCCTGCTCAAGTGCCTGGTTATACACTTAGTATCTCCCTGCACCAGTTTATAACATGCTCACAAGGTAATGCAGCCTTTCCTGTCCTGGTGAGAAAGTGCAGGTCCTGCCAGGACTGTGTCAGTGTGAGCGTTCTTGACTGAGAGGACAAGGTCTGAACTCTAGTGAAGCCCACCAGGTAACCCCAAATGTCTCCAGCCATGAATACGATGAGCTGCAACTGTGTTTGATAAGCTACAAGCTGTACTGAGCCACACGTCTAACAGTCAGACAAAGTGTTTATCCTGAGACTTACTACCCCCAAAAAGAGTGAGGGCATGATTCCATAGACAGCAGGTTGCTGGTCTGAAAGTGAGGATACAGACAATGGAAAACAAGTACAGTTTACTGTTCCCAAAAGCCTATTTCTGAACTGTCCTCAGTGAACAGGATGTTGCACACAAATGCAAACCCATCCTCTCCCCTACCCTATGGGCCTCTGTGACGCTTAGCACTCTGCGCAGAGTAACACCATGTAGACATACCTGTTCCTTGTGTTACGCTAATCCAGCAGAAGACGCCAGTGCCTGGACTGCTTGGAAGTGCCTGACCCTTGAGCCTTTTACACTGCCTTATGCTGTGCACACAGCTGCTCCATAGCCTGATTCTGCCAACCTGAACTACTACAATATGACTGAAAGGAATGCAGTGGGGAGGTGGACACACAACTCAACTGGTGGAGCTCAAAACTGGATTTTAGAGTGGGTTGACTCTTTGGAGAAAGTCATTCACTATTAGCTAAAAGGTCCTAAACAGCATATAATGTGTAGAAAGTCTTCATTCACTCCTTTAAATGAGGTAAAATGACACTTCCTGCACTGAACAATCATTATCCATTTAAGGACATATGTAATAGGGAAAAAGAAAAAAGGAAATAACACCTCAGAGCCCACAGGAAGAGCTATTACAAAAGAAGAGTTACACAGATGTGGAAATCAGTTTAAATTAGGTGGTTTCCCAGCCATGTTTTTTCTATGATGATAAACAGTAATTACTTCCCTGCTAATTCTTTTCAAGCTGGTTTGTTTTATTCCTTTCCAGATTCTTTGATATTCGAGATTCATATGAAGCAGAACATGAAACAATTCGTATGAAGCAGAACATGAAACGATACCTTCATCACTAATAATGGTTTAAGGATGTCCAGTTTGGGATGTAAGCAAGCTGAAAAAACCCTTAAAATGGGATGTTATTAAATTCTTGGTTTGCACTGAATTTAATTTGCTTGATTGTGAGCCAGAGTTCTCTAAGACACTTAAAAGAGTTCTCGGAGATGATGGCTGTTGAGGTCAAGTAGGTGTCTGGGAGTCACAGTAAGTATCACTGCAAGAACCTGCCAGCTCATCACTTGTGCTGGATCCAACTGTAAGACCGTGGCAACTTCAGAGACCTGAGTCTAGAGGGACCTCGGGTGCTTCCTGCCAGATAGCAAGACCAGGCATATAGACACCTTAAAGTTGTCGACTATCCCATTCGACCTTGGAAGTTGTTTGAGGCAAGCACCATCTCTGTCCCAGAAAAAAAATCCAGTCTTTGCACCAGGGTAAAATAAGCAGGTTTTTACACTACATCATACTTTTGCTGGGACAGCCCTGTTACAGAAAGTGTTTAATCATCAGTGACTTAGACAAATATTGCTTAGTTCAGGAATATGCTCTTCTCTCAAAGACTTTAAAAGGTTACCACTGGACAATAAGAAAACAATGTAATTTTGAGGAACTAATGCTTAAAAGTTCTTTGCAATCCATAGATCAGCAGGTGGAAGCTCTGTCTCGAGCAGGACAAGTAAGAACAGAAGAGCAGCTTTGCTGTTCTTTTGTGTCCTGGGTACAAAACCAGAAGGCAGAAGGTTCGCGTACATCATACCATTTGCCAATAATCTCTACATTGCAGCTCAACAGAACTCATGCTGTTCTTTTGTTCTGGGACAAACTGCATGAAGGAGAACAGAGGAGTGCCACAATACAGTAATACACTACATTTCCTAAAAATACCAGCTTAAAAGGGCCCCAGGGATTCACAGTATTACGTGGGCAAGCCAAGGAGAGAAATAGCAACAGCCTCAGCCCCTGATGGGCTGCCAAAAGAGCTCCTGAGGAGCCTGTGCCTCCTCCACACACAGGCTTTGCCTGGCTTCCTTTTGAGCAGCCCTCACCTTTCCCGTATCTGCCAAAGCACTTGCCTATGTATTTAAATACTTCAATTAATTACCAGCTTCTCAAGTTCAGGAACTATTTTACCTTACTCAAATAGTTTATTTAAAAATATATATATAATATTCTCCAATTCAGAAAAGGATAGAACTTCCCACAAAGTAACTTTTATATATATATATAAAATATTTATGCATTCAGTGAATGGAAACAGTTTTACTGTATACATTTTTAATGTTGTACTCTATGCAAATCTGCATTGCCTAAAAATATACCATACTTCTGTAAATCAAAACAAGCAGGGAAGAAACACTGTAGCTGTGTGCTGGCTTATAATACCTAACAGAAATGGTATGAAAGTTCTAGTTTTGAATTTCAGAACTCACAAACAACAGTTTACTTTGCGAGTGCATAACTAGAAGACTGAATACATTCTGGCTCTGTTAAGCAGAACTGTAGCAGAGGTTACAAAATGTAAATATATTTATTTGTTTTCAGTATTTCAGTGTTTCCAAGTCCACCCTTCATGATAGTGTTAAATAAATCATGGTCCTATCCTTCCAAACAATTCAACACGCTTTAAAACAAAATACAAACAAACAATTTTTAAAGTGAAATGTCCTCCTTCATTGAAGTGTTAGATCATATTTTAAATTACTGCACTCCCACACAATATTTTTTATATATATATATTTTAAATATATATATATTTATATATATAAAGAGACCAAATAGGAGACTACATTTTTTTTACTGTCAATATGTTTAACATCGCATACTGTAGTTGTATAAAACATGCATTTTCTGGGATAATTATGAACACATCATGAATGAGCCCACATAAATTATATTTTTTGTACAACTCCAAGTTAAAAAAAAAAAAAAAGTCAGATTAAGTGCCTCTGAGGCCTTTTCTTCCCAGCTGTCAGTTCTCAAGACACACTACTGGAATATTTATCTATGCCTACAGCTATGTGCTAGAGAACCAGATTTAAAAGTTTAAAATACACCTACAGTATGTTTTACTTAAAGATTGTGACAGTCCTCGGCTATTGTGTTGTGAAATGTAAAAATAGTCACAGATTCTTTTCTTGTTTTCCAGAAATAAAAAACACATCTAGGAGAGTATGCAAAAACAAGGCAAAATGAAGTTTCATAGCACTTAATGAGGGTTAATATAAGTCAATAACTAATATTGAGGTTCGTAAAAAGGGCTGGATGAGCAGTTACATGTACAAGCAAATGGTCAGGTAACTCCAATGGTATCAGATGTTGTTTCTGTAACCAACACTTCCTCCACCCTTAAAACCAGTCGATATACATTCAAAATAGGCTGACATTGATATACTTACTAGGTGTAAAAATAGTGCACTATTTTTTCTGCCACAAAGCAAAATTGCATCCTAAGAGCTGTTAAACTTTCTTTTTTTCTTAAATAGAGAGAGTGGGCAAAAAACTTGGAAAAAAAGAATTAAATTAAGGCAATTAGACAGGTAAACCAGGACTGCCCATGATGATGTAGCTGAAACTAGTATATACTTCAAACTTGTACTAGCTGCTGAACACTGACATGCAGCTTCTGATAGACGTGTATGAATGATATAAACTTCAACATTATGGCTTTATACAAGTGCATAGTTGCAACTGCAATAAGTAACGGTATCTGATTAATAAGCATAAAAAAATAAAGTGGAAAGATTTTTAAAACCCTCTTGCAGTATTACAGTACAATATATATACACAGTATAATGGTCACTTCTTACAGATGCAGTCTATATCACTGTGGTGGATCCTCCTCCTGTTTTTCTTGCAGACATGCTGGTGGCATCTTTATGAAAGCTGAAAAGTCAGTTTCTTCCATTTTAATATTCATTTCTCTCGATCCTTTTGTGAAATGTAGTGTATGTGTCTTGCCAAGAAAGCTTTTGTGGAACACAGTTTAAAAGGTTACCTAATATATCGTTTTACTATTTACCAGCCATTCCTCTTTTGATCAGTCACTCAGGGGAATACAGGAAAACCCTCAGAGATTAGTAATTTATATTGCAGCAAAAATGTAAACCTCTGATATATATAACACAATCTCTCAGGAAAATATATATATTTTTAATATATTTTGGGATATGTTTCAGTCTTGCTGTAACAGGAAGAAAATTATCACCTCGAATTGTGTCTGCATTCATGGAAAGCAGTTAGCTGAAAAAGAAGCAGGAAGTTTGGTCAGTAAATGCAGCAAATGTAAATCTGACACAAATATACTTCCTCAGAGTCTTCATTTAAGATGGGCTCAGCATATTTGTGGAAAACATCATTCCTCTGCATTC